TCAACTCTAAGCAAGACGGAGTTGAGCGCGGCGTTATTCTAGTTGGCTGCTACATGTGTTGCCCTGCTCCACGAACATGGTTTCGACCTCGCAATGTCCTGGCGTAAGTTCAGCTTCAGACCACCGTACTCGAGGATAATTGTCACCCATGAGCGGAAAATGGGGACGAGTTATGTGGCTTCAGAAATGCGACAACCAATCCGACCAATGGCTGAGAGGACTGCGAAAAAATGCACCCACGAGCAACTCAGCGCGTCTGAGGTCGAGCAAGTAGCATAGCTGTTCACGGAGACCATCATCACTTATGTGTACGCTCATAACTCACATCCAGGGACGACCGGATGTAGCGTAAGATGCCACCGCTGAAAATCAACAGTCTATCGCAACGGATGTATGATTAGTCACTGAGTTTGGTTTTCTGGTTATCATCATAGAACTTAGCCCCGTTTCTACGAGTCTCACTAAGTCTCGTCGCTCAGATGCAACGAACTGATAGAGTTCATCGTGCCTGTGAATAAGAGTACAAAGGTTGTTAACGGCTACTCGCAGGCCGCCGGGTGTACTTGAATTGTGAGCAACCGGTTTATCCTGCTTCGTGAAGTCCTAGAAAAGACCCGAAAAAACATGATACCGAGAATGGTTTCCTACTCGCCGTTTCGTCCCTTTAGCTCAATGACGGCAGACTTGAGCCTTTCTTGATCCAAAGAATCCAGTCATTGACGAACATGGAGCTTTGGACTTTTCAACCTGTTTAAGCGAGATATGGTCAGCCTCGGACTTACTTCGTCCACGATGGTGATTCTTATTGGTCGACTTTGGTGCTCATCCTTCTTTCCAAGACAGGTACTTTGCCTCAATTTCAACCCATCCTCTCACACGTCGAGTTTAGGCTCTGTAACATCTCGACCTTATGATCGTAGCGTATCTGGGGTATTGGGTCATTGGAATCAAGCGCGTGGAAGATCATATGGTTAAAACGCCTCTGGTTGGCCAAGCTTGACCGTACAGGGCGAGGATTTTCTAGAGCTTCAAATGGTCTGGCCTGTCGTCGCCTTGCAGCGGCTGACCTTTCTTAATATTTCTGCATATGACGATGCTCCCCTCTGAACAACTAACCTACGGTCCTAATTGGTACCGTATGAAGGCCGGAATCTTCACGCGCTCCGTAATACTGTTTGAGTTCGATGGAAATATTCCAACAAAGACCGATCATAATGAAATGTATCATTCTGTTAGCCGGCCGCTCAAACAAGGACTTAACAAAATCATAAAACCCGGGGCTTTCAGCGTGCTTCCGAAATGGCGGCTGCAAGCCTCTCCGACAATTCTCTCAGGCTCTTACCGTTCATTTAATTCAGTGGTCACAGAATGTCTGATGTCACTGAGACTATTTGCGAAGTGGATGGCTCACCGAACATTGATCTATGAAGACATCTGAATTGATAGATTGAACATTCCTATTCCCATTTCAGTAGGCACTTACCGTCCAACTGTGTGCGTTACGCACCGAACTGCCTGCTTTAGGTCATATCGATTAATCCCCCAAGAGACACGGGAGTTCGCCTTGCGATTCTACACTTGAATCGGTTCAACGCTTCTAGCTCGGATGAACTTTCGCCAGAGCTCTTCAGGTATGAATATGCACTAATCAACTGACCTCATTGTTCTACAAAAAGAATGCCAGTTGCTGTCGCGATTTTTAAGAATGGTGCTCGCATTTCATGCTCTAATCACCGGAGAATCAGTCTCAGTTCAGCTACTTTTATGCTCTTGGCATCCATTCTGCTTCTTTGACTAACTTCCATTCGGAAAGTACAGCATCGTAATGAACAAGCTGGATCTCGTCCGGAACTTAGAGGTGTGGATCACATACTCACATCCGAACTCCCCAAACGCCGTCACCTAAACCAGAGGCCTACCATTTTTTGTTCCGAGACATAAGTGCTGCATTAGACTCGGTTGATCGGCTTGTTCTGTCGCGTTGCTTTCTAAGGTACAGAGACCAGAAAAATACTTCCAACTTACTTTCACTATACCTTTATATTTTTGATAGACTGAAGGTCTACGGAATGATTTTTCCTTCTTCGCTGTCAAAACTGGTATACGACAGGACTATCCTACTTCCCCATTGCTCTGCAATTCAAGATTGAAGACCTCTTATCGAGAGCTCTAGAAGGCTATCGAAATCTAGGCGTACACCTTCTATCAGCTAAACGTACCGTCGTCTTAGATGACACTTCTGACATCGCCTTACTTGGTGGCGACTCGCAGGTACTGTAAACTACACTTAATCGTTTGGGGTTTAAGGCATCCAGATAAGACATGTGCTTCGCGCCCCCCTCCCCCAACTACAAGGTGATGTTTCAGTACTGACCCACACCAATCACGAAGTCATACTTCACTTATGTTTATCTAGTGTAGCTTCGTTTACTTGTAGAAATGTACGTCTCCATTGCGTAACAGTAGAAAGGAAATTTCTCTACGGTTGATTTTTTTCATGCTATGACACTTGTTGGGTCCACGAGAAGCATCCATCTTGGTAAAGTGCAGGGTTTATACTGCCTCCGTTTGAGCCGCCTTGCTGTATAGAAATGAGTCATGTCTGGTGCGCGTTGCTGAAACCCATCCGCTTTCGGCCTTAGGGTGTTTGGGGAGGATTGCCCGTGTGTAGTGCCAACAACACCTAAAGATGTAAGGCTCAACGTTGACTTATGGAATGTGAGTATTCCATTTAACAAGGTGCCTGTATTCCCGCATACAAAGGTGTCTTAGCTATGCCTTGCTTATGTCATCTGATCAACTACCTCATCGTGCCTTGTTCAATTATGCAGGATTTGGCTAAAAGATACCACCATGTGGTCAACCGTTCAACTGGTGACATCTCGGGAGATCGTTGACTTCAGCTTTAGCCGTTGTCAGGTCCACACAACTGCCTGGTTGGAGATCCAAAAACTAGGAAGGTCGATAGCTTGAAACGCCTCAAGATATCGCAGTCAATCGAAATCAATGGAAGATTGTTGTGCATGGTTGCAAAAATTCAATTATTTATTGTTCTGCAATTACAAATGATTTACGAATACATAATGAGGGTGAACAATAAGTAAACATTTCACGCTTCTTCGTGGTAACATTAAAACTATTGATTTCCTTTGAATTCCACGCTTCTCGGTGGCATATATATATAAATATATATATACATATATATAAGGTATGCGTCCGGTCGAGGCTTACGTGTCCGGGGCGCACGTGGGTATAAAGACCAAAAGGTCTGAAAGACAAAACAGCGACTTCGTAGGTGGTTAAACACTCCTATCACAAACACCTAGTAAGAGTTGGAGCTGGATAGAAGATGCGCCTGACTCACATCTCGTGGGGAGCTGGACGGTGTTGTCACAGATACCGATGGAGGGCATAGCTTGAGGTGACTGGATGGATGGCGAAAACACGCGCGCGAGGTGGCTGCTTTAATGACAACATAGAAGAAATGGGAAGTCAAAGAGAAGTGGAAACGACGGTGGCCTTTCTAGCTAAGCTGAATGACATCCTACCTGTTGACTCGCTATAGCGACATTCGGACCCGCTACAGCATATATATATATATATATATATATATATATATATATATATATATATATATGGTTGGCGGCATCCGGTTTCGGATTTGCATATCACTGTGGCCAGCCACAGGACGCCTGCGCCTACAGAGGGACCATGGGTAGCTTGCGCTGAACCACCCACAGCTCCAACCACACACACCCCATATCCAGTGAAAAAAACGAAGGAATAAGACGAAAAGGTATGTGGACGGCAGGCAAGTTTCATCAACGGAGCCGAATTACACTCCTTCACATCCAAACATAGGTACGCTGTATTTGGGAATCAAGCGCAAACACAAGGCGGTGGCTGGACTGCAGTCCGCTCCACACTGAGTGCATGGAATCGCTCTTTGATCCTAACATGGCCACAAGGACCGTGCATCCCGTCCCCTCCAGTAACGACCAACTGTCTCCTAGAGCCAGTATGGAGGAGATGGTGGGTAATAGACAGGTAGGCACCTTGTCAACGTGCACATCAAGCGCAGCCACACCGGGGATGTCAAACAACAGCCAATCACTTGAAATGACAGTAACAAATAAAATATATCTGTTAAACAGTACGGCTATGCAGACAGAACTGTTCCCTAAATTAGCATATGAAGTAAGTTGGTTACTACCGAAACCGGGATAAGTAAGAAATGTCCACAAGTTACTCAAAAATGCTACGAACGCAACAAAGTTATCGAAGATAAGTGTGATTAGCGTAAGCAACGTGGCCAGTTAATAGAAGCTTATTCAGGTAGGTAGAACAAACCAAATAACTGGAATGGAATTTATCCGGCTTAAAATGACCTTGTTTAATTTAGTTTAGCCCAAGTTCGGTGAAGAAGCATCAAGAATGCAACATCAGTCTCACCATGGGGCACGATATATATATATATATATGTACATGTATATATATATATATAATGCTCATGAGATGATTGTGCTAATTTTTCAATCGCCAGCTGCCTGTGATTTCGTCTTGCATTTGATACATTGAATGTAACAAATGGCCTTTGTCGTGTAGCTCGTTTGGTCAAAAAATACAACCGACACAGGCTTAAGGGACGATCTTTTCTTTAGCCAGTCCATTCCTCATGGCTACAACCACAACGGTTTCAAAATGACATTATGCACAATGCAGTTCAACAACAGTAGCATCCATCACAACTTAACCCATCGATAGGAAAAGGATATTCCTTTCCCTTTACGCTCGTTCTTCATACAAGTGACAATGCTACTCTTTGCCATTGCAAGAGCATGCATAGCACACAATATACAAACTACCGGTTTCCCCCCCCCAGCTGTTTTCAGAATTCAGTATGACTACACTACACTTTTTGACGAAATTCTCCCTTCTCATTGCGAGATACCATAATGAAGTAAATTCCACCATACCAATCGGCATTATTTCGTTGTCAGATACAGAATTTGCTCAATGAACACTTGCCAGCCTTGCGGTGTATTTACAAGTACTATGGGCAAGTTGGGACAGAGCCTTCGCCGGATAATACTGTCATGCTTAAATACGTCCAGTTTTGCCAATTCTTCAAGGACTGCAAACTGCATCACTATGTTAGTCTGGCAACGATGGAGAGCCTACTAGGTGAGCCAATCACAACATTTTTGCTTTCTGAACCGTTGCCTTGATTGACGTTTATCTTGTAGCTTGAGTTTCTGAGTATCTGCAACTTGCAGTCTGAGCTCAAGCTTAAAATATACATTATTCTTACAAGAATGCTAGCTGCGGCAAGGTAGCCAAAAGCGATCACTATGCGGTACCTGTCATGTACTATGACATACTGCGTAGGACAATTCACCTATAAGTATCTTAATTTTTGATCGCTGCAAACACCCCTGTGATAGGAAATTGTAATTACTCAAGTGAATGTATATGATTGGGCGAACCCGGTTCAACTAAACTACTATCTTTGCTTTGACTAAGATTATTGAGCTGCTGATTTGGCTTAAGTCGTGTATTGCTTCTGATGATTGTTATTGAGTACAAGTTGAGAAGCTGAGTAGACCAGTATAACTAAGTCTCAGTTGACGAACCTACTGGGCGCTGTGAATTAGCTCCTCCTTAGAAGTTAAGCTATCTGATATGATGTTTTCCCTATGGCATGGGATGGGAAGAATTTGATTAAGCACTGAATGGACAAGAAAGCGATGGAGTTAATTTCCGTTTGAAGGGTTTTCGAGAAAAACCAGGCCACTTAGTGAGTAATAGATGTCAATGATTCATCTTCCGGCCAATACAATCATATATCTGGGCTAAAAAGTAAGAAAGTAAAGTCGGTCAAGTTTGATAAGCGCAGAAAGAAGACGAAGAATGGCAAATGCACGCATTTCGTATCAGTGTCTTTAACATTGACTCTCAACATTATTTAATTAGAGAAGGATGGGAACAAACATACCTGTATACAAACAGGCTAACACACAATAGGCTAGACAAGTCATCATCCCCATCCCAAGGCAGTTTAAGGCGGATCGATAAATATTTCCGAATACAAAGCATCGGCTTAATCCGCTTAATTGCAACTGACACTGCGAAACGGAGGAGGTGATAATTCATGGGCTGTACTAAGATTGTGAACACCGAACTGACCTCGACTCGGTAACCTGTGGCCAAAATCTGTCGGCCGATCGATGAGGCCGGTGGCTTACGCGGACAAACAGGTTGACCCTGACCAGTTTCCCTCACGTTCGAAAGTTGAACCCACTTAGGCACATGCGTCTTCATTCGGGAACTCAATGTCCTATTGGTCTTGCCTATGTAACTGGCACCGCAGTCATGTTTGTTAAGGTTACAACAATAAAAAATGCACTAGGTGTTAGAGATGGACCTGAAGCAGTTGACTGCGTCTTCCGCTTTCGTTGGCCAGGGAGCTGAAGCGCGTAGACCGATTTCTTTTGCGAGCATGTGGAGGCTTTTAAAAATCCAATGCAAATTGCCTCGACCGTGGCATGTGTCCAGAGCCGTCGACATTTCGATCGGTGTGGCGGAATCCTGTACAATAATCTAAAGCTTTGGTTTTCATAACATTCGGAGGGCTGGACTAGTGTATTACATACGATAAGTCCATATTTTTGACAATAGCAATATTAACTGCATTATTTCAGCAACGTTTTTCGATAACCCACCAGACTACCCAAAGGGGCTTGTAAAATAGTGCTTCTTAACTAGCATATGTGACGAATTTCTACCTATGTGATTCAACTCCTACTACTACTTTTCTGTAGTATACAAGTACTGTTTATTTTTCATAACTGTCCACATATGTTGAAGTTGCAAAGCGTGGACTATCACAACAACATGTGTGGAATGATAGCCTTCCCTACTGAGCGTTATTGAAAATGCTGTTGATGCAGATGGGGAACAGAGTGGGATTAAGATCATTGTCTTGCAGGACGCCACTCGTTTTCGCTGGTAATTCTGACTATAATTTATCTAACAAGACAGTTTTTTAGCATTTCTCCAGATCATCTGCACTCGCTTCATTGCGTTTGCGTGCGCTCTTGCTTTTCTGCTTTTGTTCGTCACTCCCTGCCTCGATGTTTACTAGGCGTAAATATGTAGCAATCTCTTGGACAGTTAAATAAATAAACTGTATAATTTTCGGCGATGCGAGCTGTTCTCTAGAAGGAACAGATCAACAATTCTCACATCCGTTTCATTCCTTATATTCATAATGTTACAAAAAGATATATGGGCAGCAAATCAAATTTAGGTGGCACGAAGTAATCAAAATCCTTCCGCTTTTTTTCCACTTTACTTTGAGCCAGGATTTGCTACAATCACTGAGAGATATTGGGACTAAGTAAAATGAAATGAAGTGAGAGAGGCTATGGTCTAAATATTTATATGTATGTGTTGTTCGTAATTTAGTCAGTTGCCACCGATACCGTTCTCGAAAGCGCAATCCATGGATTTTGATGTTTCGAAAATATTAATTGCGTTTTGGACAGTTAACTACCTACTGATTGCTGGCTTAAATTACACAGTGAATAACATCTTCTGAGATGTTTGGAAGTTTGTTCGAAATCTTTAGGGAATGGACTGGAAAACAAGTTCTCTGATTCTCGTGATAAATTTTGGAATCGTGACCTTTGTCTCTTCGTCCTGGATCGGGTATCTGTTGTTTAAAGATATGTGAACGCCGTCATCAGAGCTATGAGTTTGATGGTTTATTATTCTGTCAAAAACCTTAAGTTCAACTTCATACTCCGAACCCAGACTGGGTCAAAACCAAGCTTACCACAAGATTCTCCATGCGTCATCTTTGAAGAATAGCCAGATATCATTCAAATACAGGGATCGTAAACTAGTTGAAATCTCCTAAGCAAAGTATCAAATTTCATGCAATCGCCACCAGATACGATGCGGTCCGAATTAAGATCCATGCCACTTTCTCGACTCTGTTCCTAAATATTTCCCTCCCAGTTTTTGGCATAGGAAGCATAGGAGATTATATCTAACTGCTGCTTCCAATCGATTTGCTTGCATTATCTTGCTTATGTGGTTTAATCCGCTGCTAACGCTTCAGCAATCAGGAGACCTCACACCTGCAGTTGACTAGTCACGTTCATATGCAGCAAGACGGTGTGGAATAACCAGTGAGATTATAGCGTAATTGTGATGGTCGGACGGTATTTTCTCGCTATCAACCAACCGTCTGGAAGAAGTACATAGGCAGATACAAACTGGTGAGCCGCATTTTTATTGCCGAAATGTGCAATCATGCTAGGCAGACGGGCGCCTAGCTAGGGAGAGATAGGGGGGAATGTATCACCAACCTCTGGGGCCACGTTCGGGTCGCGTCCACACGTGCATGTACGTAAAATAACGAAGCCAACATACGACAAACAAACTTCCTAATTATGTCGGGTAGAAGTGGAAACCGTAATTTTCTGCTATATTGCACATATGAAAGCCAGAAGCCGGAAGCTCCAGGTCGTCTCACAGCCCCTCCTAGATGGCGACCGTTAGTGAACTCGATCTATGTGAAAACTGCCCGTTGTCGGCCTGCCTTCTGTGAGGCCAGATGGTGTGAATGGATGCAGTTTCAAGTGGGACACCAATACCACTGGACCCTAGCAAGTTAGGCTGACGAAAATGGCGGGATCACACATAGTGAAACCAAGCGGTGTTTTATCCAGTAATGTCCAGTACAATTTGAGCGTTAGAAGTTGGCGGTATGATATGGAAGTAAAATGCAAGTTGTAAAGCAGGCGCAAGTAACAAGCGAAAGGTTCGCTGGATGCCTAAGTTGAGCGTTAGCAGCCTCTCGCCAAAAGTTGCGATTGGTGTGCCGTTGGCGACACGCAGCTTGATCGGAGATGGTGAAACGACCTCTTCTGGGCTACAGGGTAGAACACTAATTTCGGCTCCCTTGTTGACTAGAAACTCGGTGCCGGAAGTTAAATCCCTAACGCGGATGAGGCGACTTTGGTGTTGGCCGGTCGCGTCCGTTGCCGTTACGGACCGGCCGAGAAGTTTCCCTGCTTCTCGGCGAAGTTGCAAGGCTTTACACATTTATGAGCTGCGGTAGCAAAACGCTGATGGTACCAACAGCTAGCCTGCCTGTTGCTAAACTTAGAACGTTTGAAGGGCGATTTTTAGCGGCTATGACGACGACGGTTCATAGTAAGATGCTGAACCTGGCGACTAAGTGTCGCAACTTGTGTTTGCAGGGCTTCTATAGTTGACTGTAAGCCAGTGATAGAAGTGCATTGATCGTGCTGGCGTCGGCTTGTGGCTGTGATCGCTGAATCACTCGACCCGCTAAATCTGCTAGTTGAGTGAGCGAAACGGAGCTCACTGTAGCGAGGATCTCTTGCGTATTTTCCGGTATCCGCTGTAGCCGTAGTTCGCGAAGTAACATCTCGTCCATGGTTGAGGAACCAAGGAGTTGCTGCATCTCTCGTAGCAGGGTTGAGGGCAGTTTGTCGCCCAGCTGCAGATCCCTGAGTAGCTGCTGCAGCCGAACTTTCTCAGAGGGCATAACACGCTTGATCGTGACCTCCTTGAGAGCCTCATAGCGTTTTTCGGTCTGAGAAATGATGACGTCACGAACCTGCATTGATATCTCCTTGGGGAGATGGGACAGGAGCTTGCTATACTTCGCGTAGTCGGAAGTGATTCTGTGGTTGTAAAACTCAGCCTCAAGATGAGCGAACCACAAGAGAATCCATGTCCCAAAAGGATGGCACAGAGAGAGATACAACGCTTAGCAGAGGCTCTACCTTAGGGTCTTCAGATTCCATGGCTAAAAATTACGCAAAATACAGTCTACCGTATGAAAAATAAACCGCAAAATATGAAAAGTAAGTGGAACAAGCTCACCGGAGAAAAGTTCGAAATATCCGGCGCAGAGATTGTTCCGGAGTCGGGGTCACCAATTTAGTGAGTCGCCTGTACCGGGAGCCCGGAGCGATACGAAAAGACAGATCGAGTTGCAGGGAAGCTTTTATTGGTACAGTAAAAGATTCCCTGTTATCTAGCTATAAAGGAACGACACCGTGGACGCTCTAGCTAGGGGAACGGAGCATGCACAGCACACAGGGCAGTCGCGAGTTGCAAACGAAACGAGCGCCAAGCAAAAA